CTTCGGCTTTTCTACCTCCCCCGGTCTCCTCCTCAGTTCCTACCTTGTCTTTCTCTTTCAAGAGTCTTGTCACTGCCTCCAATGAGGCAGTGTTGCCATCAATCTTCTTCTCAAGATGTACAAGGTAGACCATAATAGACTGTAGAATGAATGCAAACTCGTTGTCTGCTTCTTCGTAGTGGAACTTTTGTCTCCGTTCCTCCATTACTCTTTCTTCTTCTCTTTGCTGTTCTCGTTGTCTCCGAAATTCCTCAAACTTTCTCCTTTTTTCTCTCAATGTATTTTCTAATTGCATGACATTCTCTTCCATTATCTCTACAGACAATTGTGGTTCTACTTTCTTTCCTTTTTCCTCTTTTCTTTTCTTTCTTTCCTATTCCATCTTGTCCAGATTCTCGACGACGTACTGGTCAAGGTCCATTCGCCCTTGCTTTATGAGGTCCTCAACCCTCTTACCGGTCTCCATCATTTGAACGGCTGTCTTTGCGGCTTTCAGTTCACCTTCTGCGGCACGGAGATTGAACTGGTCGTGAACCAGCTGTTCAATTTCTGAACTGGCGCCGTGTATCTCATCGAGAAGCTGGTGGAGAAGGCCGATCAAAGTCTGCCTTCTCGCATCAATTTCACCACGGGTCTTTAATTCCCCCCCTTTCTTCGTCGGCGTAGACTGTGAGAGGAATGGGGAAGAAAAAGAGAGGTATGAACCGAGTGAGAATAGAGGTGTGCAGGCATTTCCAGAGATAAGTCAGTTTTCCCAGCATGTAAATGTTGCACAATAAATAAAATTAACGACAAAAATAAATTCCACAGCATACGCAACTTTCACAACAATAAATCAAGGCAGATAAGAAGAAACAGATTATCAATTTATATTTTTCTAACTTTGTTGTCTGTTTCTATGCGTGATGATGTCCTACATCAAGTGTACAGGTACCACATCTCCAGCCAGGGTGATCAAGACAACAACACACTTGTGAGTATATACAGCAACCACAGAACAACCAACATGTGAATAGGTCAACCAACACGACAACACAATCAATGGATAGCTTCCTTCCTCTACGGCTGTTCCATCACACTCAACAGTTTCCCCACAGCAGCGTGTTATGCATGCCACGTGTCACCCCTGGCATGCCAACGCAGCAGCTCTATGGAGCCTGCCACGTCAGCGTCAAGGACCTAAAAGGTCTTATGAGGGGGGAATGCCACATCAGCAATGCATGTCTACAAAACACACAACACTTGCATGCCACGTCAGAGCTTCATCAGCAGGCAATCGCAATACAGGTACGTGCCACGCCAGACCATGCCCTGCCAGAATACCACATCAGCATTCCACATCATGCCACGCAGTGCGCCGCTTTAGCGGTCCCAATCTCACACTTCAATCTCTTAACCAGCGCCACTTCAGCCTGTTGCCAACGAAGCTCTCGCCGGTATCTCGAAGTCTTCAATGTAGCCTCGTCATCACCTTCAAGTGAGGTCGCCCACGCATGCTGTACTACATGTCTAGACTTGCGGTATCAACCGCGCTCGTTAATAAACACGTTTCGTCCTACACGTGCAACACCTCCCACTTACCTGCGTGCCATGTCCGCACCTGACAACAGATTGCGATGGAGGAGTAAGCTCTGATACCAAATTGTAATTAACCCAGTCTGGCAGATCCTCATCAGACGTCAAAGCACAAGTACTCTCAGATTTGCACAAAGTCTTCAGTTAACGTGAAGTGACATCACGAACAATATCTCGTTATCAATACACGAAGAGAGTGCAGGGAGGAGAGACAGAGGAGAAGGTGGAAGAGAGAAACAATGATCACACGAGTAATCCAATCAAACCCCGCTTCTTCTCAGGGCTTACTCTCGCCTCCACGTCATCAACCAGTATACAATAACAAGTATGATAAGTCCTGATGTGGCATACTGCGCATCCACACGGGCCTGCAAGGCCTGACCAGACGGAAAATAAGGGCCCTCCAAGCCTTGTGTCGTTTCAGCCTAAAAACCTTGAAAACGAGGGCCATTTTAAGGCCCTCATAAAGTCGATCTGCCTTGAAACTCAGGCACCTGACCAGGGTTTAGCACATGACATTTTTGGGCATGTTTCAAGACAATTTGTTTGAACTTCAAAGCCAGGGTCTGGCACGTTTCGGCATTGGCAAGAGCAGCCTCCCAGACGGGCCAACACTATATAGTACTGGCCCACCCT